CGCCATTAAACATACCACCCACACTAAGGGTTGGCAAAACCCCACCGCCAAGAACAATGTCTCCCCGCAGCGTGCCGATGCCAGAAAATGATGGCATAATTTGACGCTTGTCTATATGAGCAAACATTTTAGTCTTGGCCGCAACTGGGATAGCTTTGGATTTGGCCCCAGTCTCGGGGTCTGGAATGGTAATGGTAGAAGTTGTGGTTGTGGTGGTAGTAATAGTAGTTGTTATACCCGAAGTAGGCGTGGTGATAGTTGGAGTGGAAATATAAGTTGATTCGGACTTTGATGGTGAAGTTTGTGGTGTGCCGGTTTCTTTTGGGCCGCTGGCTAATTGCGAGCAGTTGTCTCCGTAATTTTGATACCCAATAGGGTTCAGATTGTATTTAATCCGAGCAGAAATGTGACAGGCTAGGTAATTGAAAAGGCTATGTGGATCAGCACTTCTCAGCCCGGCAAATGGAGAGAAACCACGCCAATCAAAAGTTTCGGTACTAGCAGCTGCCAGTAAATCTACAAAGACCAGACTATACGCCAAACAACAAAAATAACTTGCTTTCATTTTTTTTTATTAAATTTGAGTTTTGCACAAATAAATTACAATATAATAGTAGGTGTTTTTTATTAGAAAGGCAAATGTTTTTATTACAAAAACAATCTAATTTAGCTTTTGACCTGTCGTTGCTAATGCCATTATCTGTGTTGTTTTCAAAAGCCGTGGCTTTTCATTTACAATCGGCTGGCAAAAAAACACTATGTATGGATAGTTTTGCAGGTGTTTAGATAATTTACTCAAAAGTATGTTTTAGTTAATCGATAAAAATGCATGTATAAAAGCCCCCTGATTTCATTTAAATAACTATGCAAGTGGAGAAAGCAGCTCGTGTGCGTATTAATCTTTTAAATATACAACATCAGGCTGTCTTTCAATGCCCATTCATCCTGTAAATCATACGAGTGGCGTGCATATTAAAAAATAACAGAATATATATATATAAAATAGAAATTCAGGTCTGTTTATGCAGGGCTTTTGCAACAAACACAAAATGGCTTTTTTGACACGGGATGTGTTGCGATTTGCTGCTCAGGCGAGAAATTAGTAAATAGAAATTGTAAATTATATTTTAGATAACACCTGTATCATTCATTAATATCAAGAACTGTTACTTCCGCAGTCACTTCGGTATCCTGTGCAGTTGAAACCAATTCTAAAGTTGGAGTTGGAGTTGGGGTTGGAGCTGGAAGCACAACTGCAGTCGTAGTCAAAGTTTTAAACATATTCTGGCCATTGCTAATCGCGTATCCAAACCCGCCGCTAAACTTTCCAATTAGTTTTGAGGAAGGAATAATGTGACCTCCATATTCCACTGAGCCCAACGCATCGCCTCCAATTCCCAGCATTGCTTGTAGCCCGTTTTTCAACATTACTCCGGCCTGGCCTCCAGCACTCACGCCGACACTTGCTGTTGGCACAAGTCCATCCAGCCACCCGCCCTCGTACACCATAACTGAGCCAGCAATATTGGCCACCAGTTGGTTGATTGCGCCGGCAAATCCACCTCCAAAAGCAACAGATGGTAAAACACGGCCTCCTCCGCCCAAAGTGGCAGATGCCCCAAGTTCATACCCAGTATCACCACCGTTTACCAGGCCGCCCACAGATAGCGTTGGCATAATGCCTCCACCAACAACGAATTCTCCACCAACAAGTGCATTTCCAGAAATTGTAGGTAGCGCCAAAAGAAGCGACATCCGTCTGTGTACACCATTGGTTGGGATTGCAGTCCTATTAAAGATATTGGAAAATCGAATTGGCATAGTTAGTTTTGCTGTGATTATGCGCTTTGATACCTTTTTGCAGCTATCGATGAAAGCGCCATTTTAAAAATGAGGCCAAATTTTGTAACAAAAAATATTGCGTTTAAATTGACAAATGTTATTTTCTGAGCTTACTGTAGACTTACTGTTGAGCTAGTCGCTGGGCTTGTCGTCGGACTAGTCGTTGGGCTTGCGATCGGCGCAGGTGCATATGCATGCGCTAAAGTTGGATTCGGAATTGGAGTAGGTATCGATGATATTGGAGTGGTCGTGGCATCTATAACAGTCAGGCTTGAAATATATTTAGCGGTTGAAGTTGTAGTCATAATAGAAGCATATGTTGTTGAGAGCGTTGTCGCAGCATATGTGGCAGTTGAGCTCAAAATGCCCTTGTCGAATGAGGAGGTTAATAAAATCGAACTGTATGCCGTAGAGGGCGTGGTCAACACCAACAATTCTGATGACACTGTTGAGCTGAATTGTGATGATATCAAATCTTCCAGTGATATTGAGCTTCTGGGAATGGTCGTGTCCAAACTGTCTGTGACAGGCAAACTAGAAATGGGTGTTGTAGAAGAAGATGCTTCAAAAGTTGCTGTTGACAAAAATGGTGTCAGTGAGGTGGATGCTTCTGAAATAGATGGGCTAGAATAATTAGACAAGATGAGTGACGAGGACAACAAAGAGGTCATAATTTCTAACAAGGATTCTGTCATTGAGCCAATAGCTGGGATGGGCAAGAAGGGTAAATATGTAGATACCACAGCCGGACTGGACGTCGTGTTTGCCATGGGAATTGGCAATGAGAGCAAGTCTGATTCTGATTCTGAAGCAGTTGACTCGGCTATAACAGGCAAAGGGTTCGAGTTATCCGCAGTAGCTGTTTTGAACAAAGATGTATCTTCAGTGTAAATGGACGGCTGGCCTGACATGCCATCATCAGCACTGGGTGCGGAAAAGATACCTGTCGACACAGACAACAGCAACAGCGAAGGCAACAAAAATAGGCTTCCTGAAGGTTTAGCAACAGTTGTCTCGATGATAGGTGTAGCGGATAAATTTTGCTTGTCCGTTTTGAAACTAGAGATTATGTTTTCACTTGCTGTTGTATTGTTAAAATTTTCTGCCGATTCGTCGGATAAAGTGGATGTAGAGAGATCTTCTGAAGTGTCTACACTTGTCTGGTCTGCAATATTTGTTGTGTTCAAAGTGTTTGTGTTGGCAGAAATGCCACTGGTAGTAGCATTGTGGTTGGATGACAGGCCATCCAAAAAACCTAATATTGTGGACGGCATTATTATTGGGCTACTAAAAATTAAGCTAGTAGTGCTGGAAGACAATATTTTGCTTGTGGTTACATGAGACTTGGTTGCGCCACGTAAACTTATGCTGCCAAAGATAGAAGCCATTGAAACGTTTTGTTTGGAATTTTCGGATAACAATAAAGGTACGGGCCAATTTGGTGTTTGTGTTGTATTCTGGAAAAAGTCAAATGATGAGGTCTGGGTAGAGAGCACTGTTTCCTTGCTCCACTGTGTATGGGATATTATTATTTGGTATGCTTCACCGCCTTCTGACGAGATTATGTTTGTTTGTGCATTTGTTAATCCTGCAAATTGTGCAATATTGACTGTAAAAAGACTGAAAATTAAAATAAAATTAGTTGTTTTGTTCATGCTTTTTTCTTTATAAATTATGAATTGGTAAGCTAAAAATTTAATATATACAGCAAAAACAGAAAAATGTGACATAATATTATTAAGTTATTTGACCTTATATATATTGATGCGCTGGTTGTTGAAGAAATCAAGATTCAATATATAAAATATGGTGCGCATGCAAGTATATTAAATGCAATCTGGCAATGTATTTTAATATCTTAACAAACCTGTGCCTTTGGGAGGTAATATCGCCTAATTTGCAGTAAATCTGTAATATGCACACCATTGCAATTTTATTTTCTCATTACTGCAAGTGATTATCAGATTGCAACAATATTATTTTTAGACACATATGTTCTTATGTACATCAATGTGTGGAAAATTCACCATATTTTTTATTTTCTTAAAAATAAAAAAGAATATAACTATTGGATTTAAATTTTATCAAGAAAATATACCCAATGTGCTATTAATCCATACAAGCAAATAAATTGTTATATATTTTTAAATTTATGGATTGGGCGTAGGAGTGGGTTCATGAACAGCACCATTTTTAATAGAAAAATTCCACTGCCCCCCGCCATTAGCAACCAGCCTAGAAGTAGGTAAGAAAATTCCGCCATACCCCAAAGTTCTCCAACCGCCGCCATTCACACCCAATATTGCTGTAACACCATTTCCCACATTATATCCGGCATTCCCATTAAACACCCGCCCACCGTCTATCATTGGCACAAGCCCGCCAAGCCATCCTGCCCTTGAGGCAGTTGCTGAGGCTTGCCCTAGTAAATTATTTGGATCCACCGAGGCTGCCACACCGTGTCCGGCTATGAATGACGGCAGTAGCCTGCCGCCCCAAGCAACGGTGTTGGAGAAACCGGCGGCAAGTTCAGGTTCTTCGCCAATGAGGAATCCGCCGATGGTGTAGGTAGGAAGGACACCACCACCGAGGGCTGCCCCGATGTTAGCCTGGCCAGTGCCGGAAGCAGATTGCGGGACAATAATCCCATGAATAGAGGAGGTCGGGAATTCGGGTGCGGGGTAAGCTAGTGTAGTAATGGCCAGAGTACTGATACTGGCGGTTAGGATTGACTTTATGTGCATCTTTTTTATGTTTATTTTGATGAAAAAAGTTAATATTAAAAAATAAAATATTGTTGGGCTTTTTTCATACTCGCATGTGAATCGGGTGTTATGTGCGTGTGTTGCTTTATTTATACAACAATTACATTTATTTTTTGTATATTTAAATGCGTTTAATAATTTAAATAGAAATGTAATGCGAGATGCGCACGTTTTTTCATTGATGAATGATGTGTGCCATTTTTCTCCCCACATATTATTTCGAGTGATAAACTCAACACGCATGAGTGAGAGAGAAGGGAAGGAGGGGTTTTTCTATGTGGCTTTATTACAAAATATAAAATATATCTCTACACCCTTTGTTTATTTATTTTTATCACTAAAATTTTAGACTTGATATCCCAAGCAAAAAAAATTAAATTAAATTATAAGCACATAATTTATTACTTTAATGATATTTAAAACAAAAAAAGCAAAAAAAACATATATTTGTTATTTTAGCGTGCTCCAATGATGTTATAAACCGGGCCCAAGGCTGAGTCAATAATACCACCAACACCATTAAGTATGCTGCCAACAAAATTTGAGCCATTCGGCACACCGTACTCGTTTTGCTGCTTAGCCCACTCATCCCACTCCTTTCTACGCTCATCTCTCCTGGCATCCTTTTCGGCCTTGTGGTTGGCCGAGGCAATATACGAGGCGTAAGCGGCAGCTTGAGCAGCGGCCTGGATATTGGCTTGGGCGGCAAGCTGCTCTTCGGATAGTGCCATGGGAGCAAACATTATCGGGGTGTGCCGCGAAGGAATGGCAAGAACGCTGAGAGATAGAGATGTAAAGGTAATGATTAAAGCAAATTTCATTTTTGAGACCTGTTTTTAGAAAATATTTGAAATACAAAAATTGAGTGTAAAGGCAAAAAAGGGGGAAGAAAAGTGGATGGTTATTATTTTAGCAATTTATATAAACGATAAAAATTATTTTGCTAAGGTCTTATATTTTACTCTAATATATTTACTCCAAGGCTTTGCTTGGTTGCTTGCTTGTGCATTTATTAATTGTTCTATTGTATTGAATTCAGGTTTTTTACATTTTATTTTTACCGCAGAAAAAGGCTATGCATAATTTTGACTTCACTGGACGTGGCATATATTCTGTATGAAAATATGAAAAGAATGCTTCACTTGGTATTATTATCATTACTGTTTAATGGCTTGCCTCTTCAATACATGAGAAAAGATAATGATTTTTGTTGTATATTTTCTCCCTAAAGTTGACTTGATAACCACGCATATTATTGCTATTCAAAGACAAATTATCCCCCCTCCCCTCCCCCCCCAAAAAAATTCTCTTTTGAAAATCAACAAAAAAATTTAAATTAAAGTAGGTAAAACACTAGTTTGCAACAAATATTCCGGAAAATACACCGGGCCGGGCACCACTGCATCTGTCTCCACCTCCGGCACCCATTTCCAAATTTTACCCGAAGCAGCCGCAGTATTTCTTGAAAAGGCGGCAAATGTATTAGCAGCAATAGCCGCAGCAGAAGCAGCAGCAGCAGCCTGTGCGGCAATAGCTGCAGAAGCCATTGCCTGTGCAGCATTCCCAAAAAAACGCCAACTGTGATAATCCCGCCAAAACCCCTTCCTCTACCAATGGCAAACCATTTGAAGCAAGGGTATAGACAATGCCTAGATTTCCTTGCACTGCACCTATGCGCGAGTCAATTTGCGTTTGCCAAGCTGGGAAATCAGTCACCGGCTTTACCGGATCAGCGGCCAAAACCAACATAACCAGGAGAACAGCTGGGTTAATCACAGGCAGTATGGTTAATAAGGGGTTGGACAGGACAATCCTCACTGCCTCTTGCGAGAAGCCATAGACGGATGCTAATGCCTGGGTTATTTTTTCAACCATAAAAAACACATTATCTTCTAAAGTAACCACTACATCGGCGGCCTTAGAGGCAAAGGACACAAGTTTACTTGTGGCCTTGTTGAATTCCTCTTTTGCAATGGACTCAATGGTGAGTGCGAGGTCGTGGCCTTGGAGAATGCATTCTGGGAAGTTGGTTACTGGGAACAAAATGCCTTTGACTGCTGGGTTGGAGTCAAGACTTTTGGCTATGGATATCACTTGTGCAGAGAGTAATTGCATGTATTGTTTTTCTTGTTGGTTCATATTGTTGGCTTTGAGGGAGAGGCTGCGGGCGAGGAAGGAGAGCAGTTGCGGTGGGAGGTTGGGTGCGGCGGTGCTCACAGATGGCATGTTGTTCATGTGGTTGAATGATAAGTTGGCAGTGTTATTTGCTTGCTTTGTGGTGGAATTGTAATTGCAATTGAATGAAATGGCTTGAGATTCTTCTTTGGGGTGGAAATAAGATCTATATAAAATATAAGCATTTTATGTAGTCTGCTTAGTAAGTGATATTTAATCAATCATAATGCAAAAATAGTATTTATTTTTTTGTATTTACCCGGTGTGCTCAATACTGGCTGTTGGCATGTACTGCGCACTATTGTGAGAAAACAAAGAGCTGGCGCTAGTTAATTCCATGGCCGATGATGCTAGAATGAAAGGCAAAGAGAATAAGCGCGCCATAAATGCATTTGCATATTTTTCTATTAAAGTTATTTTTTGTGAGATAATTAATACAAAAGCAAAAAAGAAAGCAATTTGTCCAAAAAATTCCAAGTAAAATGCTTAATGCTGTTCGTTGAATATAAATATAAATATAAAATAAAATAAAATAAAAAAGGGCGTATGGCCAAGGCATATTGTATTGGATGGAGCCACATGTTATTTTAGAAATCAAATCAAATTAAATATAGCTCGTTTTTACTTGTTTTGCTGGCAACAATCAAGTGGTTCTTCTCTTGCGGAATCGGTCCATAAAAATAAATAAAAATAAAAAGCCATGCACGTGGCCAAAAAGAAAGATAAATTGTCATGTCCTTTCAGCTTTTGGTTTATTTTTTTTTTATTTGTATGGTTGC